GCTTCTTCTACTTCTTGGGTATTAGATACTGGAAGTGCATCTCACATTTGTACAAATGTGCAGGGGTTCAAAAGGAGTAGGAAGCTGGCTAAAAGGGAAGTGGACCTACGAGTTGGAAATCGAGCAAAAGTTGCTGCTTTAGCTGTATGAACACTCGAAATACCTTTGCCTTCAGGAGTTATTTTAGAATTAAATAATTGCTACCATGTGCCTTCATTTAGCTGAAACATTATTTCTATTTCCTTGTTGGACAAGGAAGGTTTTGAATTTAACTTTAAGAATAATAGTTGTTCGTTTTCTAAGAATAATGTGCACTATGGTTTTGGCCAGTTATTGGACGGTCTTTACATTCTAAATCTTGAAATAGATATCTATAACGTAAGTAGTAAGAGAATCAAGTCTGATGATTCTAATCCTACTCTTCTATGGCATTGTCGCTTAGGCCACATAAATGAGAAACGCTTACAGAAGCTCCATAAAGATGGTCTTCTAAGTTCATTTGACTTCCAGTCTCTTGAACGTTGTGAATCTTGTTTATTGGGAAAGATGACTAAGAGTCCATTCATTGGTAACAACGAAAGGGCAAGTGATCTTTTGGGACTCATTCATATCGATGTATGTGGACCACTGAGCACACATGCTAGAGGAGGATATCAATACTTCATCACATTCACTGATGATCTCAGTAGATATGGTTATGTTTATTTGATGAAACATAAATCAGAATCTTTGGGAAGATTCAAGGATTTTCAGAATGAAGTACAAAATCAACTTGGTAAGAGTATTAAAATTCTTCGATCAGATCGAGGAGGAGAATATTTAAGCCATGATTTCAATGATCATCTTAAAAGTTGTGGCATCATTTTCCAACTTACTCCACCAAGAACACCACAATGGAATGGTGTATCAGAAAGGAGGAATCGGACTCTGTTAGACATGGTTCGATCAATGATGAGTCAGACTTCCCTTCCAGCATCCTTTTGGGGATATGCTCTTGAAACCGCAGCGTTCACACTGGATAGATCTCCATCCAAGGCTGTAGAAAAGACACCTTACGAGTTATGGACTGGAAAGGTTCCTAGTTTATCATTTTTTAAGATTTGGGGATGTCAAGCTTTCGTTAGACGATTGACCACGACTAAATTAGAACCCAAATCAGAGAGATGCTTCTTTGTTGGATATCCTAAAGAAACCAAAGGATATTACTTCTATAACCAGACCGAAAACAAAGTGTTTGTAGCTCGGAATGGTGTCTTCTTAGAAAGAGAATTTCTTTCAAAGGAGAACAGTGGGAGCAAGATACATCTTGAAGAAATTCGAGATGAAATTGATGCTCTCAATGAAGAGCCTGAATCAAATATGCAAACAGGTTCACAGGCTCCAGAAGAAATGACAACCTTACGAAGGTCAAGTAGGCCACGTCGAGAACCTGAGAGATATTCATTTATCGTCTCGAATGAGAAAGACGTGTTTTTGTTAGACAACAATGAGCCACTCACTTTCAAGGAAGCAATGGAGAGTTCTAGTTCCAAAGAATGGCAAGAAGCCATGAGATCCGAAATGAAATCCATGTACGACAATCAAGTATGGGACTTGGTTGACTTGCCAGATGGCTATAGAGCCATAGAATGCAAATGGATTTTCAAAATAAAGCTTGATAAGGATGGCAAGATCGATGTATATAAGGCTCGATTGGTTGTAAAAGGATATCGACAAATTCATGGTATTGACTATGATGAATCATTTTCTCCAGTTGTCATGTTTAAATCAATCAGGATACTTTTAAGCATCGTCGCGTATTATGACTATGAGATATGACAAATGGATGTCAAAACTGCTTTCCTAAATGGATACCTTGAAGAGGATGTGTACATGACACAACCTGAAGGTTTTGTCGATCCGATAAATGCTAATAAAGTATGCAAGCTTAAGAGATCCATATATGGTCTTAAGCAAGCATCTCGGAGTTGGAATCTTCGTTTTAATGAGGTTGTCAAAGAGTTTGGTTTCATGAAAAACGAAGAACCTTGTGTATACAAGGTCAGTGGGAGCGCAATAATCTTTTTGGTATTGTATGTAGATGACATACTACTCATTGGAAATGATATTCCCATGCTTCAATCTGTTAAGACTTGGCTGGAAAATTGTTTTTCAATGAAAGACTTGGGCGAGGCAACCTATATATTAGGGATCAAGGTCTATAGGGATAGATCAAGAAAACTAAAAGGATTAAGCCAAAGTACATACATTGACAAAATCTTAAATAGGTTTTGCATGCAAAACTCTAAGAGGGGATTCTTGCCAATGACACATGGCAGAACACTCAGCAAGACTCGGTGTCCTCAAACACAAGATGAGCGAGATCGCGTGGATAGAATCCCATATGCTTCGGCTATAGGATCTATCATGTATGCCATGTTATGTACTCGTCCTGATATAGCACATGCACTGAGTGTGACTAGCAGATACCAGTCAGACCCTGGTGAGGGCCACTGGACCGCTGTCAAGAATATTCTAAAGTACTTAAAAAGAACTAAGGCAATGTTTTTGGTCTATGGCGGACAGGAAGAATTGGTTGTAAGTGGTTACACTAATTCGGGTTTTCAGTCAGACAAGGATAACTTCAAATCGCAATCCGGTTTTGTATTTTGTCTAAACGGTGGAGCTGTGAGTTGGAAGAGTTCTAAGCAAGACACGGTTACTGATTCTACAACGGAAGCTGAATATGTTGCTGCTTCAGAAGCAGCAAAGGAAGCAGTATGGATAAAAAAGTTTATCACTGAGCTTGGTGTCATTCCTAGTAGCACCGATCCAATAGATTTGTATTGTAACAACAATGGAGCAATTGCTCAGGCTAAAGAGCCAAGTTCACACCACAAGTCTAAGCATATTCAAAGACGTTATCACCTGATACGTGGGTTTATAAGTAATGGTGAGGTAAAGATGTGCAAAGTTCCCACGGATGAGAACGTTGCCGATCCTTTGACCAAACCGCTTTCTCAATCCAAACATGATAGACATATCAGTGCAATGGGAATTCGTTTCATGAATGAATGGTCCTAGTGCAAATGGGATACTGAAAGAGATATGCCCTGGAACTATTCATATATGTGTATGACTTATAGTTGGATATCTTATGCTTATTAATAAGGTTTATTTTATTTCACCTTATATTCTTAAATATAGTATATTATTATTACTAGTTCACCAAGTATGTGACTTGGTTGTGGAATACTAGTCGTTTCATAAAATATACTATGTCCCTAATCATATCTCTATAATCTAGGATTACATAGACATATTGATTAGAGTGTGGGTTAGCTGATGACTATGTTCCACAAGTCATGGATATGGTGATATCAAGCTAAACACACTAATACTTGTTGGTGAACAAATATTGGACCGATCCGTTTTGGGAACACTGCAAGGAAATGTTATAAATGTCATCAGTGATGTTCCCTTTAGTGAAATCATATTGTCCTCGGACCTGAGATCGCCATGGTTACCGATATAAGGATTAATACATTAGACATTATCAAACGTTACTCCTAAATGAGTAACTATAAAGATAATGATCAAATGTATTATGAAATATATAGAGGTATGTGGTTGGTTAAGATGAGATTTGTCACTTTCATATATTGAGAGAAGATATCTTTGGGCCCCTTGATAAGTATATTTAATTATAGCATGGCCATGCACAAATGAGGTGTCATTTGTATTAAATATACTTGGAAATCAAGATACAATGATTGAACTATACAAGAATGACACTCGCCTAGTCTTGTGTTCAATCTAGATATCGTTTGGCAAAAGGAATATATATGTGACATAATATATTTATAACTTGTGTCGTTTTGAATTTTATATCCTTTGGATAATAATAATGTCTTACTAGAGACCGCTTTTTATTTGTATAATTAAAAGAGTATTTAATTATACTACCAAAGAAATATAAACCTATAGGGTCGCACACTAATTTAAGGTGAAATAAAACGATTGCTATCAAGCGCTGCATTTCTCTATTCTAGGAAATTCTTATAATTTTAGGTCTTAAATTCAACTATGTTGATCTCTGTGGCATGGCATTTGTTTTTGTTCGTTAATACCAGGGTATAATTTGGTTCCCAATATAATACTAAAAGCATCTCTAATGCTCCACTTTAAACTTTAAAAAATTCGGGCCACATCACAACTTTATAAAGTATTTGTTTTTTTTCAACTTCAATGGGCTCTTTCATGCGCTGAGGTGTACAAAATAGTTGTCGACATCGTGAACCATACTTTCTTAAACTGAAAAGCCAGTTGAACTGGCTGACTCAGCGAATTAAGGCTCATCGTGGGAGATAGGCGGGTTTCAAGATGTGCGGGAAAAAATGGCGCAACCACCGTCGAAAAGTAGCGCCAATCTATCTCCGTTATTCTACATAACTTGTTCCATCTCCATCTCCATCTCAACAAATTGAAATAATATTACCTTGAGCAAGCGTCTCCAACCTCGGAAGAACAAATAATATTTACAATTGAATTTGTGAAAGAAAGATGAATTCTACATGAATTAATATATATATATATATATAATTATTTTTAAAATCAATGTTTTTTAAAATATTACGAAACTGGATTTTTAAAATATTAAGAAACGGGAAAAGCTGAAGCAATTTGTTAGAAAAATGAGATTGCCGTTAGCTAGGTGGATAAAAAATGGCCGAATCAATTGTTTTTTCAAGTTCAAATAACTGAAAGAATTGTAGGTTGAAACTTGAAAGTGTGCATTGCATTCGGATCACGAGGTTAGAGTTTTTAGGTTTGCACATCTCTCCTACGTGGTTTGACAATCCACTCATTTAATGACATGTGTCCAATTTTTTTTAATGTTGACGGCAGAGCGTTAAAGATGCTCTAAGAGCATCTTTAACGGTGCTATGAATTCGTCAAAATGCAAAGCCACGTAATTTAAATAGACACTGGGATAAAAAAATCATCTCTAATGGCAATGTCTATTTGTGTAGTGGTGCTGAGTTGGAAATGAAAAAAGTTGACATTGTCTATTGCTCTTTCTCATTCTAGCGGGTCTCTTAGACATGGTGACTCAGCAAAAACTAATTACTTTTCGCATGCCAAAGATTTCTCCGCTAACTTCTATCTTGAAGAAGGAAACCCGTATGCCAAAAATTTCTCTGCAACTTTCTTCAAAGCTCGAATTGAAGCATCCAGGTATACTTTTTTAACTCATTCTTTTTAATTTGATAAGTAATTAAACGGCTAAAGCCAATTCCACTTCATTCACAAAAGTTCAATTTAGGAAATCTACACATCTAAACCCAATTTCACATCCATACTTCGTATAATCGTAGATGACTATATATATATATATATATATATATATATATATATATATATATATATATATATATATATATATATATATATATATATATATATATATATATATATATATATATATATATATATATATGGAGCGACACAAATATGTTTGTTGATCTCTTTCTTCCTTTGAAGATGAAGACATTTAAAAGAAGAGTTATGCTCCGTAATAGCCTATGACAGTTTCTCAAACGGCGTGAATAGGGAACTCATTCTTTAAATTCAGGATTGCATTGGAGCACAAATAAAATTTTCAATGTGTGTGTATCCACGCCAGCTTCACAGGCCTTCTACGTAAGAAAAATTCTAAAGTTACACACTTTTGAAATACGTTAGTTACTCTACATTTAGCTTGCTACTCGCTCGGTACTTGTACTGACCCCTTCGGGGGGCACCGTTTCAGGTTGAAGCTAGAGCCTGTTGTCTACACCTTTGCACGGGTGGAAAGAATCTAGAGGAAGACGTGGTTCGTGCTTCCTTTATTATTTTAAATCATAAATTATGCCCATGGATATTTTTTGTAATATTACTTTGTTTTAGGCATGCGTGCCTACATTTTGTCATATGTGGCTTATGATTGACCGTTGAATATTTTCCGCTATTCATTCAAGTTGTGATGTGATATTGTTATATATGTTTACTTACTGAGTATGGTGTGAACGATGTTCATGAACGCCTTGTGTGATTAAGTGAGGTTGACTTGCGAGTGACGTCACTTGATCACACGGCGGATGTACACGCGCTTAGATGCACTTTGGGGCGTGATAATTAAGTGGTATCACAGCCATCTCAGTTTCTAAACTATGTAGTCAACCTCTCACATGAGATTTTACAAAAGAGTTTTACCGAAAACCATGAGCATTGTATTTTGGCGTTTATAGAACGATTGTCACCTAAGTTGCAAGGTCTCTGATTATTAAGATGGTACCCTTAACAACTGGTATAGCGGTGACTTGGGCCAATATGTGTCTATAACGTATTCTATCAGTTGACATTGATTGGAGTCTAATGACTCGTTCAAATTCCTTTTCAGAAATGGAAGGTCGGCGTATGCCATTAAGAAATAATCTAAGGGGGGGAACACCGATAGTTTCTATTGGGTCTAGTCGGGCCGCATCTTGAGGCTCAAGAGGTGGAAGAGGAGGTCGTGGAGGTCGTGGGGGCCATCGAGCTTAAACTGTGAGCGATGGTCATGTAAGCTTGGTGCATGAAACTAACACCGAGAACTATGACTCAACCTTTGTTCCAGAAACGAAACATGAGGAGACCCCGTATGACGGAGGTGACTTCCACACTGATGAGGAGAACAATGATGAGAGTGTGATGTCCGATTCGTCCAAATGGGTGAAATGTTTGAATGGTATCAAAAGGAGACGTGAAGGAGAGAGCTGAGATACCAAGCTAGTTGTGCCGCTCGAGGAGGTTCAGGTCAAGGGAGCCGGGGAGCTTCAAGGGCCGCTTCAGGGGTGTCCTAAGGTGGACACGGTGGGGATTTTTGTGTTAGAATCTCCAAATACCTCAAAGAAGCAAGGGCTTTGGGGTGAAAATCCTTTGACGGCACCGGAGACATCACCGTTGCCGCCGATTGGATTAAGAAGCTGAAACATGCATCGAGGGATATGCAAACCACTCCCGATGTGAAGTTGACTGTGGCTTCACGTTTGCTTGAGGGGATAGCTTCTACATGGTGGGAGAGTGTAGAAGGAAAATATCGTGGGACTATCTCATGGGAGAACTTTGAACATGAGTTCTATGCTCAATACTACTCCGACTATGAGGTAAACGTGAAGCGGAGGGAGTATACGAACCTCAAGCAAAAGGAGGGTGCCACTGTTAAACAATTGGAGCAAGAATTTAGAACCTTGGCTAGGTTCTTACCGGAGTACGCGGCCGATGAGGACCGCATGACGGAGCATTTTTGGGATGCCTTACTCTTAGACATTCGTGATCGAGCTACGTACTCTCGCCATATGACCTTTAGCGAGGTGGTAGAGCAGCGACTTCTTGGGGAAACCCAATGGAATGAGAGAAAGGCAAGAGATGCCGAGGAGGCGAAGAAGAGGAAATGGAACAATTTGGGGCAACCCGATCATTCTCGGAAGAATAACCACGGTGGTGGTGGTTCATTTAGACCCCCGGCGCCGCCGGAAAAGAAGAATAAAGATGCAAGGTGGCACGGACCTAGACCACAGAATTCGGGGGCACCTAGATGTCCCAATTGCACTAAACAACACTTTGGGAAGTGCAATGAACCACTGGGGTGCTTCAAGTGCGGGAATGATGGCCATATGAAGGCCAATTGCCCTCAATTGACACAAGGAAATGCATCCGGAGCCGGAGGAGGGGCCATGACGGGGAGGAACCGTGCAGGACCGTCAAACGGCAGCACGGGAAGGGGCAGCGCGTCAACAAGCAACGCCGCGTCCGTCAACCAAGGTGGGGCCCAAGAAAGGGTCTACGCGATGACCGAGGCCGATGCTCAGGCCAACCCCGACTCTGTTGCAGGTAATCCCTTGTTAACGCTTGAAAAAAAACATGTGATAATGTGATAAAAGTGATAACGGTCTTGTACGGGCCGGTCGGGGTTGTTACCGGCTTGTTTCTAGCCAAAATGAGCAAAAAGGAGGCTGCCCAGGGGGCAACCAGCGCCGGTCCCTAGCCAACCGGCGCCGGTCGTAGCATCTAATTCTCTGTTTTGCACCGGCGCTTCAACAACCGGTGCATTTTCTCGAATCGGTTCATTTTTTGCACCCAACCGGCACCGGTCATTGATCAACCGGCGTCGGTCATTGCGATTACTTTTCCGACGTCAAAAACAAAAAAAAAAACAAAAAAATATAATTAATTTCCGGCTCAACCGGCGCCGGTCAGACCCACAACTAGCGTCGGACAAGTTCAATTTTAAAAAAAATTAGCTCGTTTTTTATCCGGTACTTCGGGTAGTGTGTCTTACATCATCTTTAAATGTAGGAACACTCTTGATCAATGGAAGAAACGCAAGAATTCTCATTGATACCGGGGCGCAACGTTCTTGTGTGAGCGAAGCATTTGCCGAAGGTCTTGACGTGCCATTGACGTCGTTGACTCAGACCTTATTAGTCTCCACGCCGTTAGGAGATGATGTGGAGAGAGACCACTATTATCCATCGTGTGAGGTAGAAGTGATGGGTCAACCTTTGACTTGTGATTTCGTACCTCTAAGTATGTTGGAGTTTGATGCGATCCTAGGGATGGATTGGCTCGAGAAGCATCATGCTCGAGTTGATTGCTACACCAAGGTCTTAGAACTCGAGGATGATGGGGGAAACGCCATACATTTCCACTCTCATTGCCCTTACCTCAATTTTGCACAACCCTTACCTCCATATCCACCGCCTCAATAGAACCGGTCATCACCCTCTTTCCGCTCTCCCACCACCGCGAGAAGCTGATTTTGGAGTTCCACAAATGACCACAATAGCTACTCGGAGATTTTCGACGCTCTGAAAAAATGTCACTGACACTTTCAATTTCCCTTCCGTTCACTTTACGTTGTTAACTCTTTTGCGACAAAGCTTGAAGCGGTCAAACGGATGCGCCAAAGCTCATCGGAAAATAGGTACTAGCATACTATTCAATCTCCATCAACACGATCCTTCGAGATTCGATCAAGAGCCGGAGCAAAATAGCCAAAACATCAGGAACTTGAAAGGGGGAAATAAGTACGACTACAGGAAATGAGTGGTGGCAATGGAGGTTGTGCGGCGGTGGTCGGTCCAACGGGAGTGGGCCCGGATCAGTAGTTATAAAGAGCGGGCGTTGGACTCGACTTTTTGGTCCTGACCGGGCCCGAGACCAGTCTAAGCTCAAGTGCACTATTTTATAGAACAACTTTTTAAGTAAATGGGTTGTACCAACCCGGTTCCGATCTCGTAGCATGCCCAGGCCGGTATCACCTGAATTCCATAGTCCCGAAGCCCGTCCAATCTCGAGCCCGTCCCAACCCAACCCACCCCCAAATGGGAGGAGGCACAAGCAGCAAAAATTGAGTAATTGGAGGAAAATGGTAGGACTAATAAGGGGGAGGAAAAGAAACGGAAAGTTAAAAAAATACGGAGGAATAAAAACGATTGGAATATCCACATAGGCGATTGACTAGGTAACACCAGTGGATTACCCATCAAATAGTTGATTTGGTTGTTTTTAGAAACTTTGTGGGCCTAGGATTGGACAAGACCCGAGTCAGGCCGGGCAAGGATTGGTCGGGACTGGGGATTTGGGCTGAAGACCGGAGCCGGGTCGAGTTTGAACCGAGACCGGACAGGGACCAGGTCGCGTAAAAAAAATTAAAAAAATAATCTTTTCTAATTTATTCCTACCCCCACACGGCCACACCCCACTAAAACACCCACCCAACTCAAAAAAAAGTCTTTTCTAATCTATTCCTACCCCCACACCCCCCACCCCCAAACCCGACCAAAACACCCACCCAACTCACCTAGCAGCAGCTTAATGCCAAAAAACTAATAAATAAAATTGGCCCAAACCGGTCCCGGACCAACCAGGCCGGTTCACTAAAAGGACGCCCCAAAGCCCGGTCCTGGTGAGCCAGGCTGGTACCGCACATGCACAGTCCGAGCCAGGTACAAGGTCAGTCCAAACAGGCACATTCCATCCATACATGTAGGGATGGACCCGGGCCAGTCCGGTTCCGGGCCAGGCCCAGGCGGGCTTTTTTTGCAAAATGTTGGGCCCAAAACCAGCCCGGGTTGATACCGGGTCCGGGCCTAACCGGGCCAGGCCGGGCCCGGGTCAAGTTCAATTTTTTTTTGGTTTCTAATTAACACCCGACCCCCCCCCCCTCCACCCTTCACCCCCACCCCCCAAACCCCACCAAAACACCCAACCCTAACCTAGAAAAGCAAAAAAAATTGAAAAAACAAAAAAATGAACCAGGCCCGGCCCGAACCGCATGAGCCGATTCACCAAAAGTTGGGCCCGAGCCCGGCCCACCCGACCCGCCCAAACGGGCTAAAAGCCGAGAACCGGTTAACCAGTCCCGGTCCGGTCCGGGCCCAAACAGTAACAGGCCGGGCCGGTTCCGGGTCGGTTTAGTCCATCCCTGCCTACATGGATCTATTTGACAGTTTTCGCTAATATTTAGGATCACATCATTAAGTTAATTAAGATCAAATTAATAGATATTTTCATGGATCAGGTTTAAGCTGACAGAAAAATTTATAAATGTTACATGCATCAGCTTTTAGAAGAACTATAATGCAATCGGAAAACAAGCCTAGTGCAAATGAAACGCAAGACCCAGAATGGGATAGAACTATTAAAATGTTTATTTGAAACCCGTGTTCAGATCAAATCCCCAACCATTCAAATGGTGCAGTTAGACACCAATATTAAAAAGTAAAAGCTTCAAGAGCATTTCATAGAGCAAACAACACAATAGCCGAATGACTACGCATTTAGCATTGCATTCCTGCGGCACTCGGACAGCATATCCATGTAGAATTGGCACTTGCTGATGTCATTTCCAGAGGCATTCAAGCACTGCAGAGGATAGCCGAATGAAGCAGTGTTTAGAGAGCCCATTATCAAAGTAAAATATTTGAGTCAAGTTTTTAAAACATAATATTTCAGATTAGCAATCGTTTTAGAATATTTTACAGTCAAATTACACTGTCTGACTGAACTGCACAAACCAAATTTGAATATAATAACATTTTGGTATATAAAATTAGATATTGAAAGAGACCTAAACTTTTTCTGTCACCGCTTATATGAGAAAATGGAATATTGCAAGCAATGAAATTTACCTATCTGAAAAAACAACAGAAAATTGTATTACATACATCCCACTAATATCGTCTCATTTTACCTTTTTGGGGAAGCACACTAAAATTGTCTCATACCTAATTTGGTAAAGATTGGGGGGTCTAAATCATTCTTACTTTATTTTTACTTTATCAATTAATATCAACCACATGAACTCACTTTTCTTAATAACTGTGTCACTTCCTTCCATCCCAATATTAGTGGGACGGAGGTGGTATTAACTTACATCTTGGAAAGCCTTAGAGTGTGTATTGCAAGCCTCAGAGCCACCAAAGCTGTTGGATACAGATGACACTTGAGTCTCAGGTGTTGGAGCCACAGCCATTTCATGCTGAACCGTGCGTGGACCCATTACAGCATCTACAGCCCGATGAGCCACAGCACTTCCGGTACCGAAAGCCATACCTGTGAAAAATTGGAAAACACATGTAGTCTGCAATAAAGGATATTTTGGTTTGTTTGTTAAAAAGAAAGTTAAGAAAAAGGCAGATAGACAGCCAAAAGGAGGAAGGAGATGGGGTTGTTTGTGAGGCTTGGCTTACTCATTTTGAGTTTTCTCATGTTTTTTACCAGACTAGACCTTACATGTATGGTCTCTAATAAGTAGATTTAGAAAGGGAGGAATAAATGGTTTGGTATTACCACATCAATAGAACTACAAGATTTAGAAAGAGTAGAAGGGCATACCATTTTAATCTTTCCAATAAATGAAAGAAAGGGCATAGAAAGAAAGGTGTGGTTAATTTGTTAGGGTGTGTTTGGGAGTTGGGTTTTGGAGGGGAGGGGAAGGTTAATGGGGGTTAATGACCTTCCTTTTCATTTTTGGGAGTTTAAAAAATTGGAGGGGGTGGATTTGGAGGGCTTTTGTAACATTTCAAAACCCTCCAAATGCTTAATTTTTAAGTTCCCCCAATTTGGAGGATAATTAACAAGATGGTAATTTAAGCTAAATTAGAAACGGATATCAGCTCAATGATTTGAATTCGTCATATCTCAAAGTGATTTTAATTATAATTCCTTCAAAAACTATCTCCTTCTAATTTTATTACTCCCAAATACAAAGAAGGGCTTCCTCACCCTCACCTCCCTTTCCCTCCAACAACATACCTCCAAAGCCTTCACCTTCCCTTCCCTCCAAACTCCCAAACATACCCTTAGTGTATTGTTGCTCAAATGTTTGATCTACAAAAGGATCTCTTGTTTTTTCTTCATTGCTTGGAAGTTGGAAAACCTTCTTTTCCGACAAAACCTCATAGCCTTGTCTTTTACTGTTGCAGGAGAGGAGAGGGGAGGGGAGGGGAGGGGAGGGGAGGAGAGGGGAGGAGAGGGGAGGAGAGGAGAGGAGAGGAGAGGAGAGAAAAATGGTAACAGGTTTGGTATTAACTCTTTCATTACATCCACATGCTCATTGTCTCCAATTAGTAGATTTAGACATACTAGAAGTGTTACTGGTTTATTGTTGCCTGGTTTGTAATATCAACAAAAGTATCCCTTGTATATTTTTCTTCATGGCTTGACACGCATCCATTTTAATAAAATCGCATAGGCTTATACTCCCCAATAGATGAACGAAAGAGGACGGGCACAGACTGCTTCATTAGTAAGCCCATCCAGGCTTCATTTTTTGTTTTTTCAAATAAATGTATGCATAAGCTTGGTAGTGACGCTCTAGTACATATATTGAATATTCAGCTTATTAAACTAATTTAATGTTCAAATTGGTTACCTTTATATTTCATAAAAAAATCAGTATACAGTACAGGTCATACGATTTACAAAAAACACCATCTTTATGTTATAATGTGTTCTCCTCACTTTTACTGATATGCTTGAAACCGTAACCAAATAAAAGTAAAATAAAAATCACAAGATAAATTGAACTGTATAGAATCACCTTGAGCGATGGTAGACCCAATGTTTCCCAACATAGACCCCCCACCACTGCTTTGCATGGGTGCTGCAGGAGGTGCACTCTTTACTGCAATAGCAAGAAAGAGTCGATGTCATAAGAAATGCTAAAAATAGTAGTACATCACCAAGCTTTTGAATTCAAATGATATTGCAGATAGTTGTTATAGATATATTTGTCATCTATATTTCCTTCATTCAACACCTGATACTACGTAAATGTCTTTACAATATAAAGACATTGCAGATTGTTGGTATTCTACATGTAATATTTTTCCTCTACGTATCCTTCATTCAACATCTGATGCTACGTAAATGTCTTAAAGAACCAACAAAACACGAATAGTTTACAACTCCGAATATTTGTGGAAACCTTATGACCTCAATGAGAAAAGATAATGTTCTCTCAGTCAAGAAAAATTAATTCAGATGAAAGAGTTAATAGGAAATGGATGACTGAGACAAATATAGATCAATGTAATACCAGGAGCTGGTGCTGGAGCTCGGCGAGAAGGAATAGGTCGAGTAGATCTTCCTGAATCACAAATCAAAACATGAAGCAACTCAACGACACATTAAGTCCTGGCTAAAATTTATCGGTACGGCAAACTAGTTTTAACAATGAATGACAAGATAAAAATACGTTTCTGTTTCCCCAAAAATAAAATCGAGATAGCAGATTCAACAGAAAGAGTATCCCAGCACCAAAAATTCTTATTAACCACGAAGCCATTCTATCCTCGTTATCCTCGAGAAGATGAAGGACTTTAATTCACTATATCTATGCGATTTTCCCAAAGAATGAAGATCAATAATCAATTCAAACCCTCAACCAATTCAAGACATGCAGCGGTTTCGGTTTTAATTTTCCACAATAAAATTTAAAATTAAAAGAAGTGTCCGGAACAAAAAACAGATACGGAAGTATACAAAGTGAAGATTTATAGTGCAAATGAAAAGAAAAGGGGATCGGGAATACCAGAGCTCCGGCGAGCCATGTTCACACTCTTTTGAAAGATGGAGGCGGCGTAAGCTAGAGAAGAGATGGACGGAAACAAGCGGCAGGCAGGAGAATCGTATTAGGGTTACGCAAACCAACCAGCAACTATAATTATATATCGTACCCTCTTGTGCAGAGGGTTCAAAACCAGACCGGGATCAGAACAGGAACCAGAACCGCGAGAAAAATATAAATTGAAAATCAGACAATGTTGAAATATAATGAATTAGTCATCTCCTAACTATTCATGATTAATAAGTCATTATTATCATTATCAAGATAATCTAGAAAATCACAATTATGATTTCTAGATAATGATTATGTGGCTAATATTAATCCCTCATCTTGAGCTAATCACTTGTTTAGCCTATAAATAGAGACTCTTTGCTTCATTGTAAATAGACTTTGATTACACTATTATCACATTCTCTAATACTCTCAATAACATAAGTCTTCATACTATATTTTCTCTCCCTGATCTTCTGCTTATTTCCTTCCATTTCATAACACGTTATCAGCACGAATTTGCTCCAAATCCCTGATATCATCATCTTCCCAGCAGGTATATATTTCTACGAATTTATCAACTTATATGGAAAAAAAACAGAGGATGAGAAATATAAACATGTATAGATATATTCAAAACTATAAGAAGTATGCTCTATGGTTGCCCAACCGTTGGGATCCTCCATATCATAAAATTATAGATATATTTTGTATAAAAGAAATTGAAGAAGATAGAAGAAGGACTTACCTTTAGCCTTTACCGTACTCCGTAATATGTTCTTGAAATAAAATCTACTCTTCTTTAAAAAAAACCATCACTTGTGCTTGACAATAAGCATGTCGGCAATTTTTTCTTTTTCATGGAGCTTCGATAAAACTATGGCCGTAAATCTTCCTCTATGCTTCATACATGCTCAAAGTGAGAAAAGGAGATTGATAAACAAATATTGGGCAGAGTACGTATATGAACTACTTAACATTTCTTTACAAATAGGTCCATAAATGTGAACTACAGTTGTATGTATGGCATGTGATTTTTTCTGCCATTTTTTTGAATTGTCTAATGTGGGCTCAAGTTGCAGACATTATTAGTTGGCTTTGAATTAAAATGCAGCAAGAAAATAATTTAGAGGCCTACCTTCATAAATGTGATACATATAGTACGTAACTATACGTAGTACTACACACGTAGTTAATAGGGAGTAATAAAATCATGCACCTCTTTATGTTCAAGTTGATTGTTTAAAAAAAACATGGACTACACAAATAATACGGATGCAGAATAACATATAGTACTTCATATGTACTTACAAAATAATAATAATAATAATAATAATAATAATAATAATAATAATAATAATAATAATAGTAAAATAAAAGCTATTATTATCTTTGTCAAGACTGTCATATTATTATTGAGCTCTAATAATGATACTATGTACTACGTATATCAGAAGATATTTCTTCTGTCTAATTATAATTGATTCCGTGACATGAGGCATCTATCTAATTTGGGTGAAAACATTAACTAAGATTTCATACTATTGATAACTAATACGGAGTAGTAAACTAAATTTTTTATACAATTTTTTTATATTATGAATATACATAATCATTAGTCAATGTATGCCTCTAGTGCCTCACGAAAGTTTGTTTGTTCTTTTATTTGTATTAGGCATGGGCTTATCTAAGTATATAAGTTAAGTCACGGACTATTACAGTTATTTATACATGTGTAAACGTGATGCATATAATTATTATTATCGTACGTAGTAGTTATTAATATAGTATTTATTATATAAACATATTACGGATATCTGATCGTATTATCTATGCAAACCATTAACTAATTAATTTTAAATTAATTATGGTGTAGTTCATCCATGGCTAATATTAGCAAAAGAGAGTTCGACGTCCTTGATTTATCTGGTCAAAAGTACTTGGAATGGAAAGTTGACGCTTTGGCACATTTAAAAGCAAATGCCCTCGAAAACACAATTGCTGAAAATAATTCAGCTACTCCCCAAAATAAGGCAAAAGCCATTATCTTTCTTCGTCACCATCTTCACGAAAGTTTGAAGTCTGAGTATTTATTGGTAGATGACCCTAAAGAATTATGGGATAATCTCGAAGAAAGGTATGGCCATCAACAAAAGGTCATTTTACCAAAAGCTCAATATGACTGGATCAATTTATGATTCCAGGATTACAAATCTATAAGTGACTACAATTCTGCCTTGTTCCAAATAACATCAAAATTGAAGTTATGCGGACAAAAAGTCACTGATGCCGAAATGTTGGAAAAACTCTATCCAATATGCATCTTTCAAATATGCTTTTACAAGAGCAATATAGACAAAAGCACTTTCAAAAGTATTCTGATTTAATATCAGTATTACTACTTGCTGAGACGAATAATGACATTTTGATGAGAAACCACAATATGAGACCCACGGGTTGTAGCCCTTTTAGTTTTGGTCCACAAAATCATGGTTCAAAACATGAATCAAATGCAACCCATAGTGGTGCTCGTGGACATTTCAAACGTGGTCGTGGTATTGGTCGTTATAATGGACCTAGCCGGGGAAACAAACAGAGTAGTAGCTCTTACAAAGGCAAGGGAAAGCAAAAACCCCATCAAACAAGAGGCCCGACGAAATCTTCAGAAAAGGCTAAAGTCACTTGTTTTAAATGTGGCACGTCGGGATATTGGGCAAATAAGTGCGACACACCTACACATTTGGTTGACTTATATAAATCATCTCTAAAAGGAAAGAATGTGGAAACTAATTACGTCAACGAAAACGTTCCACCAATGCCCACATTTAATATGTCTGATTTCTATATGGATAATAATGAGATGAACACTGACATCGTCATGGGTGAAAAATAATAATAATAAAAATGAAATTATTCTGTTATGTAATATATTCTACAATAAAAGTTTGTTGTATTGTAATTTTTATTTGATGTGCTTGTTTCGGTTGTAAAAGTTATGTACATTTTAATGAATAAATTCTTGTTTATATTGCAATATTGAACTAATATTTGTTCATTTTTATCTTTTTAAAGATATGGAGTTAACTGAAATTTCTCCAAATGGCTTTGAACAATGTTTAATAGACAGTGCCACAACGCACACCATTTTAAGACATAGAGATTATTTTTCTCATATGACATTAGTTGATGCTAATGTCAATACAATCTCAGGTGTTGCTAAACTCATTGAAGGTTCTGGAATAGCCTGTGTAATTCTCCCAAAAGGGACAAAATTAATAATTAAAGACGCTTTATACTCCAGTAAATCACGGAGAAATCTTTTGAGTTTCAAAGATATGCGTCTAAATGGTTTTCACATTGAAACCATGTCTGAAAATCAAAAGGAATATTTATGTCTAACGACAAATAGATCTGGCAATAAATACATTTCAGAAAAAATGCCAGCATATTCCTCCGGACTATATTATACATATATCAGTCCAATTGAGATAAATGTGGTATTTAAAATTAATGACCACAATTCCTTTATCTTGTAGCATGACCGTTTAGGTCATCCAGGCAGCACTATGATGCACAAAATTATTCAAAATTCACTTGGACATTCATTAAATAATGTCAAAATTCCACAATCAAGTGATTTCTCATGCACAGCCTGTTCTCTTGGCAAATTAATTATCAGGCCATCTTTATACAAAATTGGAGTTGAATCTCCTGCATTTTTAGAAAGAATTCAAGGAGATATTTGTGGGCCAATTGCCCCTCCGTGTGGGCCCTTTCGATACTTTATGGTGCTCATTGATGCATCAACACGTTGGTCACACGTCAGTCTTTTATCGACTAGAAATTTTGCATTTGCAAATCTCCTTGCTCAAATTATTCGTTTGAGATCACAATTTCCGGATTTTTCAATAAAGAAAATCCGACTTGATAATGCAAGGGAATTTACATCCCAATCTTTTAATGACTATTGCATGTCAATTGGGATTGATGTGGAACATCCAGTTTCACATGTGCATACACAAAATGGTCTTGTTGAATCTTTAATTAAGCGATTACAATTAATTGCTAGACCATTATTGATGAAATCCAGATTACCATCATCTGCATGGGGATATGCTATAATGCATGCTGCAAATTTAATTCGGCTCAGGCCAACTGCATATCATAAATTTTCCCCATTGCAATTAATATCTGGTAAAGAACCAAATATATCACACATAAAAATATTTGGTTGTTCTGTGTATGTACCAATTGCTCCACCTTATCGTACTAAAATGGGTCCTCAAAGAAGGCTGAGAATTTATGTTGGTTTTAAATCTCCCTCAATTATTAATTATCTAGAACCTATGACTCGTGACTTATTCCCAGCCTTAGGGGGAGATAATAAAGAAATGGACCCACGTACGAAAGATATTACTTGGAATGCAACAGATTTATCTTTTCTTGATTCTCGCACAAATGCTTGTGAACAAGAAATTCAAAAGATCATTCATTTACAAAGTGTTGCAAACCAATTGCCTGATGCTTTCACAGACTCAAAGAAAGTGACAAAGTCACATACTCCAGCTATGAATACTCCTTCTCGAATAGAAATTCCTGTGGAGATTAGCGAAAGAACTCTTGCTAATGAATCTATGATACGTAAAAAACGTGGTAGACCACTTGGTTCAAGAGATTTGAAACCAAGAAAATTTAAAAAGCAAGATGTAGTTTGTGATGCCAAAGAAGTTCAACCTTCTCAAGAAGAAAATGAACATTATGATAATATCGGCATTGAAGATAACATCAATAATAAGGATACCTCAAAAGAGGATCCAATCACCTTTGAAGAGGTAAATATTCCAGATACAGATAGAAACGTTGATAATTTTGAAATTTCAATCAATTACGTTTCAGAAGAGGTAAATATTTTGAAATATTCCAGAATGCAATGGAATAGAAAAGATATTGATGTTAACGATATATTTTCATATGCCATCGCCACAGATATAATGAATGAACACGATGACAATGAGCCTAAATCTATTGACGAATGTCGTCGTAGAAACGATTGGCCAAAATGGAATGAAGCAATTCAGGTAGAACTAAAATCGCTAGAAAAGCGTAATGTTTTTGGACCAATTGTCCACACGCCAAAAGGCGTAAAACCTGTAGGTTTTAAATAGGTGTTTGTGCGTAAACGCAATGATAAAAATGAAATCGTTAGATATGAAGCCCGACTTGTTGCCCAAGGTTTTTCTCAAATGCCAGGAATCGATTATGATGAGACGTATTTTCCAGTAGTTGATGCTACTACTTTACGATTTTTAATTGGCATGTCTGTTTTTGAAAGGCTGCAAATGCGGCTAATGGATGTAGTGACCGCATATTTATATGGTTCACTCGATACAGATATATATGTGAGAATTCCTGGAGGCTTTAAAATACCTGATGCTTATAGCTCGAAATCTCGAGATTTATTTTCCATAAAATTGCAAAAGTCATTATATGGATTAAAATAATCTGGACGCATGTGGTATAACCGTCTAAGTGAATATTTGATTAAAGAAGGATACAAAAATGATCCTATTAGTCCATGTGTTTTCATTCAGCGATCTGAATCAGGATTCGCCATAATTGCAGTATATGTTGATGATTTGAATATAATCGGAACTCCCAATGAAATTGAAAATACTGCTAAATATCTCATGAATGAATTTGAAATGAAAGACCTTGGGAGAACAAAATTTTGTCTCGGCATTCAAATTGAACATTTGAGAAATGGTATTTTTATCCACAAGTCAAATTATACCGAGAAACTTTTGAAGCGATTTTACATGGAAAAAGCACACCCACTCAATTCCCCGATGGTGGTTCGATCTCTCAATGTGCATGATGATGCTTTTCGACCTTGTGAAGATGATGAAGAAATCCGTTGTCCCGAAAGACCATATTTGAGTGCTATTGGAGCGTTAATGTATTTGGCTAATAATACACGACCAGATATTGCTTTTTCTGTAAATTTATTAGCCAGGTACAGTTCTTCTCCGACAAGAAGACATTGGAATGACGTCAAACATATATTCCGCTATCTCAATGGTACAATCGAACTTGGATTGTATTTCAAGAATGGTGCAAATGCCACTTTAATTGGCTATGCCGATGCAGGATACTTGTCTGATCCACAAAAGGCAAAATCACAAACAGGATATGTATTCACCTATGGTGATACCGCTATCTCATAGAGATCGATGAAGCAAACATTAACTGCCACATCATCAAATCATGCAAAATTAATTGCTCTTTATGAAGCAGGTCGAGAATGTGTCTGGTTGAGATCAATGATCCAACACATACAAAATGAATGCGGTATAAAATCTTTTACTTGTAATCCTACTGTGATTTATGAAGATAACACAGCATGTATAGCTCAGATCAAAGGAGGTTACATCAAAGGGGATAGAACAAAGCATATAGCACCAAAACTTTTCTCCACACATGATCTTGAGAAAGAAGGAACAGTTGATGTCAAACAAATCAAGTCCTGCGACAACCCTGCTGATTTATTCACAAAGTCATTGGCACCGAAGAAATTTGAAGAACTGGTCCACAAAATTGGAATGTGTCGTCTTCGAGATATATGTTAAATTGAGGGGGAGTAATATAATGCACTGCACTCTTTTTCCCTTCGTCGAGTTTTTATCCCACTGGATTTTTCCTGACAAAGGTTTTTAACGAGACAGTACATTATAATACTATGAAACTAATACACATGAATAATTGGAAGATGACCATTCAAGGGGGGGTGTTGAAATATAATGAATTAGTCATCTCCTAACTATTCATGATTAATAAGTCATTATTATCATTATCAAGATAATCTAGAAAATCACAATTATGATTTCTAGATAATGATTATGTGGCTAATATTAATCCCTCATCTTGAGCTAATCACTTGTTTAGCCTATAAATAGAGACTCTTTGCTTCATTGTAAATAGACTTTGATTACACTATTATCACACTCTCTAATACTATCAATAACATAAGTCTTCATACTATATTTTCTCTCCCTGATCTTCTGCTTATTTCCTTCCATTTCATAACAGACAGGTATATTTTGGTTGGAAAATTTCCTAAGATATTACTAAAACTGAATGAGTTTCCAAATCTATGACCTAACTAGTTTTTCTACTTTTCTATGACCAAAAATCCAAAAAAAAAAATCGTTTATATATAAAGGTTGAATGACGAAAATATCCTTATTTAAATTATGTTCATTTTGCACTGATTTCGTCCAATTAAAATTACTGCACTTTATAGTGTCGTTAATGCGCAACATTAATGCAGATTTTACTGCACATCCGATAATTATTACTGCACTTCCGCCAAAATTAATTCTCTTCTCATTCATTTGAGGAATTTATTTTTTAATTTTTGTTTTTTAGATTAAATAATTGTATTATTTTACGTCTAATTAAGTATATTACATTTCATGATGATATTTCTGCTCTAGGCTACTGCAATTCTGGTCATAATCACTACATAACAAAATTTCTTAATGCATTCATTCACTTTCTTGTACAACATGCCTATTACCATGTATATTCACTGCAATTCCCGCCAATGTTGTACCATTATCTATTGCCTTCGAATCACTGCACATAACACTTTTTCAATGCATTTATTCATTGTCCATGTATAACATTAATTATTGCCATGTAAACTCACATACTCAGCAACATTATTATAAACTTCAGTGTTCATTTTCACTGCGCATGTTCAATGCACATGTTCAATGCCTATAAACCATAATTTCAGAAAACACGAAATTAAGAAGCCCACAAACCCTAATCTTGATTAACCAAAAACCATCGTTGTAGAAGGAACTCGTGTGGCCGGACGGCTGGTCGCTACTGTCTGGAAGGCAAGACCTCTGGCGCCCATGGTCAACAACACGATGGCAGGGAGGGCTGTTGCATCTTCATTGAGGATCCAACCTTGAAGGCGGTGGTGGTTGAAGCTGAGACCGTCCATGGACCAATGCGTCTCTTCGCCCTTGACATTATGGCATCGAAGACGGGTACGAGGCAGGTTGTGCGATTGGTGTCATATGAGGTAGGCGAGGGCGAGAGGAAGGAGGGTGAGGACCAGACGGCGGTGCTGCTCGAAGGCGAGGGCCAGCTCTTCGTCTTCGCATTCTTGTTCGAAGCCCTCGGCTTCCGCCTCGGCAACGAGGGCTTTCTGCAGCTCCATCGCGATGACGGCATCCTGTCCCACCGAGGGCTGTTCGCTTGTGGACTCCACGTCCGAGATGACTTCCTCCTCCGTCGAGGGCGCCCCCGAGATGTCTTGAGAGTCGCTTTGTGAAGACATCGTATGTGCTAGTTCGAGGGCTCAAATATGCTAAGTGCTCTAAGCTAAAATTCCTAAGTATAGGTCCCTAAGGCCGCTAAGCACAACTAGGTGACAAGGGTGGAGGACAAGTGAGGAACTGACCTTGTAACGGGAGCTAGACCGAAGGCAGCTGTTTCTCTCTCTAGGAATTTGGGCAGAGCTTCGCTACAATGATATCGCACAAGGGAAGTGAAGCCGGCCATGGGGTATTTATAGGCACCTGGATCCGGGCTTGGGCCTGGAAACCGGGCCTCCGGTTGGACTGCCATCATTACAAACCGTGGTTTCACCCAATCGGTGACACCCGCCCACGGGCAGCCAACGAGCGCGCACCACGTGGCAGCCACCCCCAACGGCTATAATTCGACGTTAGATATTCCAACGACTATATTCCAACGGCTATATTTTGGGAGCCTCCGGCAATATTTAGCAGCCCGCTCCTTCATCAACCAAGAAACTAGCCCCGGGGCTTTTTACTTCACTCCACTTCATCAAGAAGAGCCCCCGGGTACACTTACCCAGAGACGTTCCCGGTTTGTGCCCCACACACTACATAACAAATGCCTTCGGGCTCACTCCTTCAGAAGCCCACGGCTTCATAACAGGCCCACCCCTCGGGGATCCCCCCTCAGCACTTTGAGGGTGGGGTAGCCCCCGGGGAGTACGCCTCATTGACGGACAGCCTACGGCACACAGGTAACGGGACCCCTCGGATACCCTCCTCACCAACTAATCAACAAACAGGGGACACCCCGGTAACACTTCAACTATTACTCGCATTCATTACGCCCTCGATCCCCAGATTGAGGGACTCCCCTTCGGCACCTCCCAAGATATCAACAGCAAGCCTCCGGCAGATCAACGCATGCGCCCTCAGAACAAGGACAGCCTTCGGCATCAGCGTTGTACTTCGTTTCAAACCAGGGCTACACATTTTTGATTCATCCTTGGGGGAATTCGATGCACTCTTTTTCCCTCATTAGGATTTTTTCCCACAGGGTTTTTCCTAATGAGGTTTTTAACGAGGCATCCCCCCAAAATGAAACGAAAAGCGTGAGCCTTCGGCCCAAAACAGCAACATGACTACTCTACTCCTTTTCACCACTCTACAAGTGGCTCAAGGAGTGGGGGACTGGAGAACCCCCTCGGGAAAAATCACAAAAATCACAAACATCACCCCTCAAGTCCCGACATGTGGGTAACTGAGGGATTCCCCTCGGCAGAATAAACAAACAGCAAACTACCCACAACACCACAAACTACAACGGATCAACGACAGAGGACAAACACAATTACTCCTTTTCCCTCAAGTACCTTTCGGAAAAAGGAGTGAGGGACTCCTGATGGAGTATATGGCCCGGAAACCCCCGTCCCACAGACTCCTACTACTCCAATGAAGGCCCAACAGGCCCATAAAGCACAACAGGCCCAAATCACAGTGCCCAGGGTACCAAGCAGCCCAC